ACGACTAGAGGTTTCAAAGCTGGCGCACAAGCACAAACAATACCTAAGACAATAAGCGTGGTCCTTGCATGTTGGAAGATTCCAGCTTACCTAAATTTACCTCGATAGCACTCCAATAGGCTGGCGCAGTTCCATAGTATGTAGAGTCCTCGGGGTGTTTTGCGAGCTCAATAAAACCATGCAATCGGGCAATAGAGATAACGCAAACACTTTGCAGTAACATTTAGCACGGTAATATATACATAGAAAAAGTTAACCCACCACCAGCCGAGGGTTAGGATGCACATTAGGGCAATCCGTTGCTTCCGTGAAACCTGAAGTTGCCATATTGCTCGTACAGGGAGGGCTGCAACAAGAATGTCGGTAACAATGTTCATAGCGGCACCTGCGAAAGAGAAGCTGAAGGCAGGTTAGTGCAGATTTTTTGTCGTCTCAAGAATGACACTAACGCATTCGAATTGATGCATGTTGCATTTTTCTTTTCACTAATATCCCAGAATGCAGATACAGGGATGCAAGAGAAAACCAGAACAAGCGATGCACTAATGCCAGTTGCTAGGCAGATGGCTCCAACAATATAAATGGGTATTCTCATCGACGTGAAGGTGAAGATACGACGATACTGTAGTAGTATCGATAGTTTTGTGAGGGTGAGGGCGTTAGCATACATTAAAATGCTTCCATACAAGTACTAGGCATTGTCAAGTTATCGTCATTATAGATTGACAATGTATCGTACCTTCAATGTCGTTTCTATTTGCGGCAGTGTCAAGAACATCATGTGTTTCGAACCCCCATGTTTAGCTCCTTTACTTTTTTAGTATACGGAACAAGCACTACAAGAGACTGGATCGTACCTTCTATTTGGAATATGGCCATGGCGATAACATGCGCCTGAATTCATCAGTGATCTGTCAATTGCACTGTCATGTGCAGAGTCGTACAAATGATAATATGACGCAGTAATCTTCGAGACCAATGTTATGGATAATGATTGAACGCGCATAGATTCGTAGGAAAACCAAAATACAACCGATCGCAGTAAAGACGGAGACGATAGAGATGAGCAAAGGGCCGCCGTTCTCCCCTTGTAATACATCGAGCTGCTCTGAGGTCAACTGTGGTGCTGAAGGGCTGACCATCCTGGGAGCACTGCAAAGGTCGATTTGAACCCCTATGCAGCAGCGCCGGGTCGATGCAATTGTTTAAGTAAATAATGCACAGGAGAAAGAACTTAAAACTTGCCAAAAGTAGTATAGTAGGATATAAACAACCCTGGAGTCCTCTTTCAACATGCATACCGATCGCGTGGTTGCAAATACACTCCAAAAGTTCAACCGTGCCCACAGCGATTAGCTGGCTATTACCCTGGGTAAAGGACATGGTCCCCTTGCATGGTTCCATTACCCGATTGGCGAAGTCAGTAACCGTCTCAAGACGGAGCGCGCAAATCCTGAGATCCGAGGTTAGTGCCGCCACCATCAAGCGGGATAACGAGGGGAATTTGAAGCTCTTGCACTTGGAAAAATTGTCTGGAATGAAGCACACACTAGGTCGATCATGATGATGCAGATGTGGAATTTGCACAGCACCAGTTCTTATAGCAAGTTACACAACGTCAACGCGTCAAATCTACTCGGCAGACACATGTATTCAGCTTTCTTGTTAGTGACGGTGTGAAGTGAATGAAATGCAATAGGGTCAGGTGAAGCCCATGGCGGGCCTTGAAGGATTTCCGCGCAAGGAACGGTGCATGCGAGAAAGGAGGGGAGTGTTCGCGTGTGTGTATACATGAAAGGGGTTCTTAGTGTCCGTGGTCTCATGTTGAGAGATAATCAAGGGAACAACACGGACTTGGGATCCCGTGCTTGGATTGGCATTAGGCATCTAGGCTAAATCCTTTGCAGCCCCAACATCCCAGGATACGAGAATGACTTAGAATGTGGCTGAGAGTGCCTACATCCTTCCTCGTTACCTGGAACCTTATCACTATTCAACATACATTTACTCGACAACAGCTTCGTGGAGCACTCTCCGTTCTCCGAGCATTGATTCAAGATTACAGCTAAGTCAACCGGGTGGCTGGGTCAACCCATTGCCGCAATCATATCTTGCGTCGCATTAGCGGTACGTGGCGAAACAAATTCTGACAAGTGATGCCTTCTAAAGAGCTCTAGTGCAGCCAACTTCTAGGCCTCCAATCTAGGTGCGATTCTAGGGACTCTGAGCCGTAGATTATGATTGGCCTAGACTAGGAGCATCTAGGGGCACTGTACCCTTTATTGGCTGCCCAAGATACGATGGCGTACTTTGCCACCTTTCAGGCACAAGTGATCAAGGCACTCGCCTGCATCCTTGCAGTGGATTAAGGTTTGCCTGGATTGTCTGTGCTTAATGCAACTCGTCGCGTCATCTGGGTGTGCATTCCGCGACAGTTTGCATCAAGGATACAGACCAGTATAACAAAAAAGGCGCGATGTACATGATAGAAAACGAGCCACCAAGATAAGGCATGCTGAGCGGAATATAATTATCCTCATGAGTCTTCGCGTAGCTTTTACACCGCAAACATCGACTACTTTAATATCTACCGTGCTCCAAGACTACTAGCTGGTTTGAGCGTAGGACAGTGTATCTCGAATAGACATACTGTTAGACCTCTACTCTTCCCAGTTTCAATTTTGCTCATGAGAGGAAAGAGTTACTGCAAAACAAGAAATAAATGGAAGCTACGCATCCAACTGGCGTCTATCCTGACTTAGAGCGGGCTCTGAATCACAAATAACAGACTACTTGCCGAGGGCAAATACGATTTTTTTTCCGATCAGGAGCTATCTGAACTAGCATCCGCATTATCACATTGGTTGAATGACAGGCTATCGTCTCAGATAGACTAGGCTCGAAAGCCCGGGTGGCCTAAACCCACGCGCTAAACGGGCCGGTAGAGCTAGACGGGTTAAGGGCGCGCGATGGTACCATAGTACAGCAAGAACGGATGAAAAGATCACAGCCTAGAGTAGAAGAATATGACAAAAATGGGTGTCACTTGTATGGCTGGAACACACGACCTAGCAGATAGGGTGCTTACGCTGGATAAAACGTTGCGGCAGAAGAGCATCCGCATTGGGACTATCGAGATAAATGCACGCATAAGAAAAGCGCGCTGGTCTATCAGACTATGGGCCCTACAAAGGGGTCGTTGAGTCAGTCCTGTGTTTCCAATTTCACGATTGTGTCATAGCCAGCAATCATTTTGAGAATCTGATTGGGGAAAGAAGGAACATGACTGAAGCTCTGAGCTATATGAGTCTTGGGTGGTAACTAGGTTGCCACAAGGAAATGCATGACTAAAGTATTACGGGATTTTGTGGCCATCATGGGACTTCATCCCACATTGGAAAGGTATGCCGTCCCTCCACCTTAGGATGGCACAGAGAGAGGAAACCCGCGCCAAGCAGTGATCTATGCAGTGGGAAAGTACAAAGCAAGGAGCGAATTGCGCAGAAATCGTTTTCCATCGATCAACCTGCTCGATGCACAAACATCAAAGGTTTGATGAGGTCGAACACTTGGCAGCAACCATAAACGTTTCGCGCATAGACTTATCTGATCTTTACGGCATATATACCATTGGGAAAATTCGAGGATATGAATTCGTGGCCTTTGAAGGCAGTGTAGAGGTTGTCCTTGTATAATCGGCTCAAAAATCTATTGCACTCCTTAACGGTGTACGCGTATGACTTGACTGCCGGGAGATAAGTGGATTTGAAAAGCAAGACGGTCGGGATTGGAATTTTATAAGAGACACTACATAAAGGGCTGTGCTAGCTATCGAACCGTGCAATCTGTGCTTGAGAAAGATTCTGACCAACCCGGCAATCGGATGAAGGGATATTGCGTCAAAGTGCCACAAGAAGCAAGTACAATTACTGCTATCGCAGGTCGGCGCAAAAAAGAAGGAGATTGAGAGTCTTAATGCGCTCCCACAAAGCCTGGTACTTTGAAATGTAACACGGTGGAGATACCTGGGATGGGCTTGGGTGCCTATGTCAAGTCTTGCTGCTACGCCAAGAAGAGTTATATGAGTAGAGCGCAATGGTAAATCTACACGCTAAGGTATTGAAGTAATGTTGTCTGACTTTATCATGCAGGGCATCTGTGGTTTTAGCTTATCACCGACGCGTGCCCATGATACGATCTTGGTTACTCATGCTCATACCTCGCGACCCTCAGCATCAAGACAATTCAGGCAAACACGGTAGCATCTTCGACCGCAGCGAGGTGGCTGCAAAGGAAAAAGATATCTTGCCTCATCCGTTCTAACGTGGTCCGATGGCATGTTGATGAGTATGGCGATTGAAGGAGCTGATGATGATGATGCAATTCTCATCCCAATAACGGCACAAGTGATGGGCATGGTTCGAAAGACACATGCCATTAGTCGAGAAAGTGGCCGGTAAAGTCTCATTTGAAGCAGGAGTTTGCGAACTTCATGTTTGAGCGCAGTGAGTTGAGATGGAAGCATGGCGCGTTGGCTGATGCCTACCTCGACAAACACCTGATACGTCTTGTCTTGTAGGCCATATTTTGGTAAGCATATTCTATTCTATAACTTTTTTATGAGTCGTGTATAGGAATGCTGTCATGATCGCACGCCTTCTTAGACACGTGCGAAATGTGTGCGAAAAAAGCTCGCAACGCGCACATGCTTCTTGACGTACAAATATCCACGATATCTTTGGTTAACCAAAGACTAAGGTACTGGCAACATTAAGATCTATGTAGACAGGTATTAGGTCCATCAGTCAAGGATACTGATGTCGTTCTGTGCCCAAGTGCTTACTGTGATGTTCCTTGCAATAGCCAATACAGTCAGCGTATTTTGTCTACTCGGTCCCTTCCGGGGCCGACCGTAATATGCAGTTAAAGCTGAGATCAACTTCAGCTCCGTGTTGCATATTGTGTGAAATTTTCAAATTCATATTTTTTGGATATTCATTCTACCAATCGAGTTTGTTAGACTGATGTGTTAATTTACACAGAAAGAGCTCATCTTCGTGAACTCCAACCGCTGAGTCTGGTAAGACCTGTCGAGCGGGCCAGATCTCGCGCCCCAGTTTCCTTTCCTGTTCATGGTGCTGCCGGATAAGGCTACGAACAGTCTGTTGAACGAAAAGCGGGCCTTTCTCCATTCTTGTGTGCATCTCTCCACTAACATACACTCCGGCATCATGATTCTTTTGTGTGTTGAGGCATAGCCACTTGTCTTCGTTCAACACTCGTTTGTACATAGAGTCAATAGCTTCAAACTCCGCATCAGAGGCGTCTCTATGCCGATAAACTTCGTACTCCAACGAGCAATGATTGGGTGATGTGGGCACACACCTCATCATGTAAAAGAAGAAAGGCCTAAGATACGTTAGCCGATTCTGGGAAACGCTTTCAAAGGTAAATAAAATCACCTACGTGACAGTCATGCAAGCATTTGGGAAATAATACGTGCTACGAACCCTCTGTCCCTCATCCATAGCAATGTGCTCTGCATTAGTAAAATGCTGAATGTGTCCACCTCGTGTGTCAACCGCATAGAGCTTCAGGTCTGTAATGCCAGCTACGTCCGGGTGAGCTGTCGGACAATGGTAGCATTCATTGTAGTTATCTGCCAATGCCTTCCAGTTGAAATCGCCGCCCATACTCCACGTATGATCGAATCGGTAATCCTCAAAGTTAAACACATCCATGCGGGGTTGTGCGTCCACCCCCTCAAAGTCGTCTTCCCATGCCAATTCACTTGCAACGTCCATGTTCACCCACACAAAGCCCTTGCGATCGACATGAACATTAATTCGCCAAAGTCCGTTCTGTGTCTTGTCGAAGCCTTGCATTTCTTCATACCCAGGCGCCTTTGCTAGATTACCTCTCAGTCCGTAGGACCATCCATGATACTTGCACGACAAAATCCTCGCTCGTCCCTGAGTTTCCGTCACAATAGGGAAGGCTCGATGCCGGCAAACATTATGGAATCCATTGATGTTACCATCTCGATCCCGGCACAGAAAGAACCGGAAGCCTGCTTCTTCAAATTGAACAAAGTCTCCAGTAGTGGTGACCCTGTGCTTATGAGTAACCAAAATCCATCTCTTAGAGTAAATAGCCCGTCTCTCGAGTTGATATATGGCTTCAGATCTGTACCATGATGAGGGTAGGCTGTGCGATGTAGTGTTTGGCTGTGTGTCGTTTCCTGTATCTTTGTAGCCAAGGATTTCCCAGAGGTAGTGGATCATGATGAACGGCGGAGGGCTTGGGACTGCAAACTGAACAATATGTGATAGCCTTTTGGTATCAAGACCTTCCTACTATATTCCTTCATCTTGCTATCACTTCGCGGTCGAAATCCGGTGGCCAGAAGCCGCCCGCATGATTTGGTGGCCGGTCACGTGAGCGGATCACGGGCCCCTCTCGTCATCTACTTGGTTCGCACTTCGGGATGGATCTTTTGGGCGGATTTGGCATTGATCATGTCCTTATCTACTGTGTACGACTCGCGCAACGCCGGGTATTTCCCCGTCATGTCCCGTTATCGGCGGGCTACCCCCGGAAATTAACTATGCAACCCGCCAATTCTCACCCCAACACCGTCCAAATGGCAGAGCACCAGCGAAGTGCACAACGTTATCCGTATCCTATGAACAAGCGCGCAAAACAAGCTTGCGAAAATTGTCGGTCCGTACGTGCCTAGAAGTGGGTCTCTTCAAGTCCTTGGGGGACTGATACAAGTGCAGTCGCAAGAAATCAAAATGCACGGGAGAGAGACCTAATTGTTCCTGCTGTGCGCGACTACAACAACGATGTGTCTATGCCGCTCACTTTCGAACCCGCGAAAGGTCCCGAGGGCCTCAAGATGACACTGTCGATGTTATTCAAACAGTTGGCACTAATGATGTAATGCAATCTATCAGTAACTACGTATCGTACTCATCCGTTCTCAGTCTGAGCGTCTCAATGCGATCGAAGATATGGTGAAAAAGCTCGCTGCGGCGATTCAGTACGATATTCAGTCGGCATCACAGAATCGATACTGACATCTTCTTAAGCGTACCACCACGTTCTACGCCAACCGAGACTCCGACCGGTCATGGAGAGAGCGAGGAACCTCAAACATCGCGGAACTCACAGGAGCCTGCAATGCAACTTTCGCCGTCTCCATTTCGCACCGAACCACACTCTTTCTATACAAGGTAAACGCTGTTGCAAACCACAACTATTGCCTACTCATTGTCTACAGTGTGTAAGATGCGCATCTACCTGACGTAGTCATAGCAGAGGGTATTGCGCTCTATTTCTCAAACTTCTGCAACCAACCGTGTCCCATCTTGGCCTACGCTAAATCTCTTGAATCTGGCGAAGATGGCCAGTTGCAACCCATCATTCTGTATGCTATGCTAGCTCTCAGCTTACGGTCATCGCGACATCCGTTCTTCAGGGATCAACTTGAAAGAACACACTGTACAGATAAGCTGACAAAGCTCTCCTGGGGTCTTATCGCCAAAGCATACTGTAATGGTGAAATAGATGATGTGTATTTCGAGGCACTTTGCTTGCAGGCCCAAGTGGATCTAGGAGGTAAGTTGATGGCTCAATCTCTTTGAGACTTACTGAGATGATTTAGACGGGAGGCTTGAGAGAGCGCGAGCTCAGGTTGCTATTGGCTTGCGAGTCGCCCAAACCCGTGATATGCTTGGAATTAATTCGCTTGATGGTCTAGGGCTAGCCCATCGAGCTCGTAGGCAAGAGATAGTATGGTCTTTGTTCATGCTAGACAGGATGCTTCTTGGCGGGAACACGACAAATCCGTCAACTCCAACTGCAATCTTCGAGCTTCCTGTCATCCAGAGCGGCCCTTCCCATCCAGACCTTCCTTCTCAGACCTGCGAGCCTGACATCTCGTTGGGCTCTATAGATTCAGGCGCGCCACTTCCACCACAGAATGTTGCTTGTCTACAGATACAAACCATCCGAATCTGGGAGTGCATTATAGACTATATCGCTCAACCACCTTCGAGCACTGATGTCCCTCTCTGGAGGCACGATTCGCTAAGGGCCCCAATCCTTACAAAGCTATTAGACATTGAGACAAGTCAGTATGATCTTCTTTCCTTACGGGAGAATCTAAACATGTTTTAGGATGTGAGATCGCAGGTCATGTTCTATCATCCGTCGGATCGCCTGCCCGTGTGCTACATGAACCAGCATTGACGAATTACTTCGTCATATGGTTGCGGTTCCAGCTGAGTTTGTCTGCGTTTAACTGCATCTTGTGGGTAAGCCTCGAAAATCTCGTGTTGACATACTGAACACACAGGCAGAAATCACCCTTTCATAATCCACGTTAAAACCGCGCCACTCAAGCATAGGATTCCACTCACCTTCTTGCAGAAATCTTACGAGTTCTCTTTAATTCATGCCAATTGGGTATTCAGACTGCTCAATCACATGGAAGAAGCCAAATTGATGCTGCACGACCCCTTCCTCGGTCACCTTGTCGCAATCGCGGCTTCAGTCCACCTAGAGCATACTAGGAGCCAGTATCCCACAGTGGCCGGATCTGCAAAGCAAAAATTCAACCAGTGCTTTCAATTTGTGAAAAGGCTTTCAAAAGAATGGCCGCGCATGCACGCTGTTGTATGTATCGAACTTGGTTTCGCGGATGCACACGCAAGCTGATATCTGTAAGGCCTCCTTACTAGAGCAACTCGAAGCGCGTATCCCTTACCGATCGAATCTGAACTACGTAGAAGAGGAATATGACGGTGCAGCCCCACTCGGCGCAAACAATCAAATACACCTTCCACAGGAGGACTTGCTATTGATGTGGAAGCTCTTCGATTGCGTTGCGACATATGCCAAGCAGAACTCAGAGTTCGTTCCCGACGAACGACTTGACTCTGTCATGCATGGCGTGTCACCTGAAAGTACCGACACGTCAACTCTCATCAATGCTCAGAGATCTGGTCATTCGAACTCCAATACCCGCGCCGGTATACAAGCAACAAAATCCAGACTGGAGGATATTGCAGTGCGCTCTTATGGTGATAGGCCCTCAGACTGTGGATCCATCTTCAACTATTCCCACATTGACTTTGATTTCAACATCTCACATTTAACGCCTTCATTGACATAAAACTGAAGTTAGTCAATTCTAATTATTTGACGGTTATTGGTGGCAGCTACTTGCTGTGATTTCGCAATAGACTCAAATTTTCGCGCGGTCTCCAGCTAGTTTGGATTTCCATATCTTACTCAAGGGGCCGTTGACTCCAAACACGGGATCGGAGTCGGGTACTGGCACATTTTTGATTTCCTCGGCTAATGCTCTCATGGATCCCTCGCCTTTGCAATGGTTATTTCGCCAGCGTGGAGCGTCCTGTATGGGATCAGCCGACGCCCACACTCCGTGACAGATTCTGCTCTCTGACCGACCTTGGGATATAATCCAATATACCTAAACCCACCTTCAGATCTCAGCGATCTGTGCGAAACGCCGGCTGGGATTACAATCACATCCCCCATACGGATATCGATTTCGACACCGTCGGTTCCCTCATCCTCTTCTGCCCGCCCCAAGGCCAAACAAGAACTTCCCCGGATGATGACTGCGCATGTTAGATCCGTTAAGCAACAGGCTCCATGAGTCTAAGATCCATACCGTAGCATTCATGCGTGTTGGGATGGAAATGGGGTATTCTAATCTCTCCCCACTCGCCCTGGTAGTTTTTCAGTATGTTTTCAAATACAAAAGTACTTCCATATTGATAACTTACGCGTTTCTCCCAGTCATTTCCCTCACAAATATTCTTCGTAAGTTCAGAGTTTATTGGGGTTGGAAGAACGTTCCGATAGATCAGAACTGGTAAGATACTGTTGGGGACATATGTAGATCCTGGAAGAGTATACTGCTCAGGCCACACAACGCTCATGACATACGTTCAGGATTTGATGGGTGACGGCGTTCGTGTGTGTTGAGTCTATCGAGTGAGGCAGTTGATGTTAGGCCTAAATGCTTAGCGCCGGCAGGGATGCCTTATCAACTCCGTATGACTTCCGCTTCCGTTCCCGCCGGCAACACGCGTTATCTTAGCGTCCAAGTGTCTGCCCTCTGGATGGCCTGCTCGAATTGGGAATTGTGCGCAGACGTCTCGGTCCGATATCTTTCTGCAATACATAGACCCATAAAATCCATACAGCTGTTGATGTTCTGAACAGGTTACTAGACACCATGAACACAAATAGTGCAATAATTATTGTAGGCGCAGGCGTTTTTGGCCTGTCAACCGCACTGGAGCTGACTAGCAGAGGGTACAAGAACGTCACGATTGTGGATCGACACGTACCTCCAGTCCGTACCGTTGTATTTACAGTTCTGAGGCTCGAGCTGATATAACAAGCAGGTACCAGATGGCTCCAGTGTCGACATCTCACGTGTGATTCGGTTCGATTATCGTGATCCAATGTATGCCAGGCTTGCAAAGGAAGCATTTGATATCTGGTGTGCCCATCCGAAGTTTCGTGGAATCTTCCACCATGGCCCAAATGCTTTCATTGCAAGCAAAACGTATGGGCGGTCACACCTCGAGAAATGCAAAGATGTGCTTGACGGGCTCGGCCAGCCGTGGAAACCAGTGCCAAATCAAGAAGCTATCAAAGCGACGTTCCCCATCCTGTACGGTGATACCATCAACTCGTCCCTCTCCGGATACTGTAATTCAAGCTCTGGCTGGGCCGACGCTCAGAAGGCGATTGCTCTCCTTCGGGATGAGTGCATTGAGAGTGGAGTGTCATTTATCTGTGGCAAAAAAGGCACTATTGCAAATTTCAAGCTTGACAAAAGAACAAGCAATATTATTGCTGCACAAACAGAGAGTGGCCAAGAGATACAAGGAGACTACTTCATTCTCTCTGCTGGCGCATGGTCACCAATGCTAGTCCCTATGTATAACTCGACGATTTCTACAGCACAAGTCCTGGCCTTCATCAACCTATCAAACTCTGAGATGGACACCTACAAAGACCTGCCACTGTACATAGACTATGACTCAGGATGGTTCTGCTTTCCACCCCATCCTGAGGCTCGGGTACTGAAAGTTGCCATCCATGGTTGGGGCTACACTCGAAGGACTAGTCTCACCGACCTCTCTCTTCCGCCTACAGCCATCCGAAGCAAGCGCACCGATTTTGCACCTGCAGACGGTATCGCGAGACTACGTTCAGGCCTAAAAACAATTCTTCCGTCTCTCACAGATCGCAGATTTGACCGCGTTGCCGTGTGTTGGTACAATGATACGCCCACGGGCAACTTTATCATCGCTTACCATCCGGACCACTCAAATCTGTTCCTTGCTACCGCCGGAAGCGGCCAGTGAGTTGTCATTTTCTCCAAAAAACATCTAATTGACAAGGAATTCACACTGACTCAACGTTCTGTGCAGCGCATTCAAATTTCTACCTATATTGGGCAAATACGTAGTGCAAGGACTCGAGCGTACACTATCGGCTGACTTACAAAGACAATGGCGTTTCAGAACAGAGCATAAAGACCAAGAGAATGAGTTTCATGGCGATGGGAGCCGTGGAGGGCCAGCACGGCGCGAATTCACACCGCATGAAAAGGCGCTGTTATGATTGAGCATTAGAGCTACGTTTTACTTAATTTCAGCAGGGACACAACTGGAATCAACTACGATTTATCATTGTAAGCCTTGTTTTGTGCGTTCTGTGTCCCGAAATGACGCGTAGAGTAGTGAATGAGGGCTCCACCATAAATTCCATGGTTAAAGATGAAACCCCATGACACGAAGCTTGCAAACCTTGCCTGGATCAACTCATGAAATAAGGACTCCACACATATTGAACAATTATTCTGGTTGCTATGTCCCTTACCCGATCATCAAATGACGTTCCCATCACCAGAGGCGGTTTGCCTCAGCTAGGGAGGATTCTGGTAAAAAAGGCCCATGTTCCATGTAATGGCTATAGTCGCCTCCCCTTTGTTCCAGCACGGACATTCCCCTGCCCCATGCCTTGAAGCGTCCACCCGGATAAGTCCATTTCCAGTCTTCCCAGCGGTCCTGGGCAAGTACTTCACGGTAGTGGAGACTACTACCCGGCCAGATGGCTGTTATCCTTCCAGTTTGGCTTTGTTTGTCTATCGCATATATCAGTAAAGAAAGGCAACATCGTATTTACAGAATAGGCGTCTCTTAAGTTTAGCAAAACGAGAAGAAAAAGACCTACACCAGCTAGTACAGTTACCAGTCCAGACAGTGTCTTTCATGAAATCGTCAACCTGCAAGTTGAAATCTTCCTGGGCGCCTTTTTTCGGCACGAACATGGCAACCCCGTGACTTTCCACGCGCTTGAGGAGGCGAACAATGAAATCTGCTGTCGCTTCGAGACTTCCTGTCTCATTGTCAGCCTATATGAGGATTTCCGTGCACTTTCCATGTTATTTCAGACGAACCTATCAGACTGCCGTTGGCAACAGGACAATTGGGACCGAGCATTGACAGATAATTTGGGAAACCTGCACACCCAAGACCCATGTAGGACGCTGGGTTGTCCTTCCACAGCACCCTAAGATCCACACCATTCTGGCCTACTAGTGGGAATCGAGGGCAAAATGAGGTGTTAAAACCCGTCGCGGCAACAATGACATCGGATGCCTCAACGCCTTCGGCAGTCTGTAAGCCGTCTGGATGGCATGTCTCAATCGGACTGAATATGCACTTAACGTTCGGCTCTTGCAAGGCGCGTAGGAAGGGTTCTCCAGGACTGATTCTGCGGCAGCCCAATTCATACTCGGGAATAAGGCTCTTGCGTAGTGTAGGATCTGTGATGTGGCTCTCCATCCACAAAGCCATCTCCTGGCGCTCGCGTATCTGTGTCTCGGAGTTGCGAAAGAAGACTGGGAAAAGCCTGTTATAGTAGCTTTCTAGCATTTTACAACGCTGTAAATAGTCATCCGTGGTGTTGATGGAACAGTTCTCTGTTGCACTAAAACTTTCTGGTAGTTTAGTAATCCATGATGGAGTTCTGATGTAGACCAACAGCCGTTTGACTAGAGGCTGGATCTGGGGGATGACCTGAATAGCGCTTGCGCCTGACCCAATGATGCTGACGTCTTTCCCTACTAGATTGACCGAGTGATCCCAGTCTGCAGTATGCATAATGGGCCCTCTGAAGCCTTCTAGTCCAGCTATGTTAGGATATTGGTAGTGGTTCAGGATTCCCGCGGCATTGATTAAGATATCCGCCCTCCTCCCTGTTTCCAGGACACCATTATGTTCGGTATCCACCAACCACCTCCTCTCTTGCTCAATCCAGATACATCGTTTCACCGAGGTCTTAAATTCAACATGACTTCTAAGACTGAAGTGATCGACCACCCTCGAGAGATAATTCTGTATCTCTTCAGAGGATGCAAATCTGCTTACAATAGTCAGGATCAGTTGTTGTCCAATCACTTTGAAACTGAGGATAGTTGAGCACAAACGATTTGGACCAACTCTTCGCTGGCGCAAATGAGTATTGATAGATATCACATGGAACATCGCAAGCGCAGCCTAGCAAACTGAGTTATCTCCCCTTGCAACTACAACAATTCTCGTACCTGGGTATGTGTTTTCTAGCCACGTGCCTCCAACGTCGTGATTCTTCTCCACGATCTTGAATGTGTAGGCATGGGATAAGTACTTTCTAAAGTGATGCGCTGGGAGGAGTCAAATATTAATTTCATGATTCCCGCCGTATGACGTCGACATTGTGACACACCCAGAAGAATGCCAGAAACACTACAATCATTAGCAACGCTAAGATCAATTTAGTGATGCCACTTACCCAGCTCCAATGATGATGATGTGGCGCTTCTCCTGCATCGCTATGTATAGTTTTCGTATTGCTGCGGCTGTTTGAAGGAATAAACAAGAATGCCGGCCCCTACACAACAACAGGCGTCTATCACTTTGAATGAACTGTCGGCGTAGCAAAACGACTGACCTAAGTCCGTTCTGTGGGGACTGTTGCACGCGAAACTATACATGACGGGCCGTGTTCGTTATCTGCCATGTTTCCCCAACAGGCGGGCCGATGTCCGTGAACTCCGGTCACGTGCTTCTATATCGGAACGCTGCCGAGTCCATCTCCGCTTGGAGTCAACACTTTTGATAAGCCTCACTTGGATTTTTATTGGCTAGTAGGTATTAAGCATCATTAAAGTCACATGCTCTATTGCTCAAATAAGATGCTAATTTCCGAGACTGTCTCTGTACCTATAGCTTTTCACAACTACTAACTGTACGATTTTGGTCATGGCAACCCCTGATGCGAGTTTTGCACCATTCAGTTCCTTAAACAAGGATTCCACTGCTGGTGTGATAGATATTTCCTTGGGGGAAACGCTTGAGACGCTTGACCAATTGGATGATGCGTAACAGACGACGAAGAAGGAGCTTTGGGCATATTACTGGTGCGATGATCTGATTCCGCAATGCCGGCCATAGGGAGTAGTCGAGCCTTCTCTAACTGAACTATACAGTTACTAAGTTGGCAACAACGGCCTCACCCTGTCCAATTTCGCTCCTACCGCTTTTCAGAACCTTGTGTACGCAGCGTCCAGAGGTGCAGAAACGCTACACTTCTTGGGCAAAACTCTTACAGCCAATAGCATTGTGTTACTTTGTAACGGAATCAGTTTTGCTATACAGATCATCATTTTTCTCTTGCTTGGTTCCTTTGCAGACTTTGGGACATGGAGACCAAACATCCTCATTATTCTATCCATTGTCGCTTTTGGCATTGGTTTCGGCTGGTTGGGGGTTCATAATGGGGAGGATTGGAAAATTGGTCCAGGATTGTGAGTGACGATTGTCTATAAATCTTAGAATAGTACAACTCTAACATTTTCCAGGTATATCGTTGGGTTAATCGTATACCAAACGACGATCACTTTCTGGACAGCTGCATTTCTTGGCCTGGCAAGGAATACAGAGGCCGTACGAACGAAAGCCGGGCAGCTGACCGAAGGCACAATAACCCGGGACGAGTACGAGTTCGTGGACATGATGAAGAGGAACGAGATCTCCAACACGGCCTTCTATGTCCAATCCATTATTGAGATCTTCATTCTCGCAATTATTGTTGGCATTATGTTCAGTCTCCACATCAATGATAGTGCAGAGAATAACAACTGGGGTCTCTCGGTTCTCATCTTCTTCGCTACTGGGGTTTGGGTGATATGCGCGATCCCAGGGTTTGTACTTGAGAAACGAAGACCTGGTCAGGATCCAGAAAGCAATATTGTATTAGCAGGTATCAAACAGCTAACGTGCGGGATCAGTAAACTGCGCACCCCACCCAACTTAACGCGACTCTCTGCGCAAATAATCCACAACAGCGTAATAAATTAAGATAAAATTAATAAATATAATCTATTATCTAGCTTTATACGTTATATAAGTATATTCTTAAATATAGTACTTTATATACGTTAGCGGCGCGCGCAAACGTCGCTAACTACCCTTAACGTGACGGATAAGCGAGTCGGTCAGGCAAGCGAGTCGGTCACCCTACCAACTTTGCGCACCCACCACACCTTTGCCTACAATGCCTCCAA